ACTGTGCGCTTCCAGCAGTTCCTCAAGGAATAAAACTGATTCATTCGGAGTTAAATAAATTCTCAGATATAAACTTTTCTTTTTGGAGACAGGGTCTCACTATGTAGTTCAGGCTGGCCTCGAACTCATGGTGATCCTCCTACCTCAGCCTCCCAAGTGCTGGGATTACAGGCATGCACCATGAACAAACTCTTTAGAAGTGATGTTAGCTTTGAAACTTTTTGATATGCAGAAATGTCTCATTTCATATGAGCGCACATATTTTCTCAATGGTTATATATACATTTCTAAACAACGGTAAAAACTGAACAATTAGTTATCACTGTTAAACTTGGCTCTGTGATTGTTCTATGAGTTTAATTTTGTCTTACACTCCCGGTCAGTCAGTTGCTTTATTGCAAACTTTATATGTCTTTCTTTCCATCAAGGTACTTAATGCAGAGGTGGACAGAGCAATAGCTCCATTAATGCCAGTTCCCCTGTCCAGTTTATCTGGCATTTCTGATGATTTTTAGACAAGCAGGGTCATGGTTCTGTGGTATCTTATTAGGAGTATTTTAGTGTCACTGGTCCCTGGCAACAACCTGTAGAAGCTCCTTCATGAATGAGCCAAATGGCACATTCGAAATACAGCTTCCAGCAATATGGACTGTGTGATCAATGTGACCTTGAAGAATTCATGGAAGCTGCTAAGATGCCAGGAAAGAACACGTGAAGAAATATAGGAATAGATGATTTGCTAAAGATCACATCTCCACTGTATCTGTTTTTACAATCATGACTACTGATGAGCACTTGCTATCTCATTAGATCTCCTGGACTTTCTGAATCCTTTTAATCCCTGCCTTTTCTGACACGTGAGGCATCAACATCAACACTGTCTGAACACGGCTGACAGGATGATCTGTTGGTGGCTGCTGTACTTAAAGGTTTTTGGAGCGCATGTGTTCTTTTTTTTTTTTTTTTTTTTTTTTTTTTTTGAGACAGGGTCTTGCTATGCAGTCAGGCTGGCCTTGAGCTCAACTTTGTAGCCCAGGCTGGCCTCGAACTTGAAACAATCCTCCTCCCTCAGCCTCCCGAGTGCTGGGATTACAGGTGTGCGCCACCATGCCCAGCTGAAGAGGACATGTGTTCTTAAGAAATCATTTTCATTGAACTACTTTGATAGTGTGATGTCTAATACAGATATTCCTCATTTAGTGACATACCTGTTTCTCGCCTGTTTGGACTTAGGACCCACCTCAGAGACTAATGGCCTATCTTTCTTTCTGGTACAGTTCTATCTATCTTGTTGATAGAACCTCAGTGTCATTTTGTGCAGTACACCTTGTTTTTATAGTACTGTAATTTTTGCTGATTGAACTGTGCAGTACACGTGAGATTTTATGTTCTGTTACACACTATGAGGTATGCAATAAAAGCAACACCATCAAGCTGTCAGTTCATTTGACCATTTCTTTGTTCTGAATATTTTAATCTACATGCTTCTATCAAGCAAGGACTGTATATTAAAGCAGACATAGGTTGAATCTCATTTTAACAAAAGATTTTTTTGCAACAAGACAGGTTCTTTTCACAGTATCAAACATTCTCTAAAGGGTATTTAAAAGTAGGTAAATGTGTTATTTCGCATAATAAAATGTAGGAGGAAATGGCAGGAGACAGGCTTTAGGAATTACAAACCACCACAATCATTGCATACATTTGGGTAAGAATGAAAAAAGCTTTATCCATAGTTTGCACTAATTACTGTAAACCCTACCTATTCCCTACAAGTAGTTTTTAGTTTTCTTTTTTACTTCGTGGAGCCACCGTAGTACCCTGTCCTCTTTAGAGATGACTGTAAAATGCCACAGGGCAAGCACCGTGCTTGGTACCAGAAAAGAGCTCAAAATATTTCTGAAGGAACAAAGTTCTGAAGGAACAAAGGAACTGACTGAAATGAACACAATGGGCCCTCAAATTCTCTCTGCTCTCTCAGGTATGCTGTTCTGTGCTTTGGCACCTCTCCATGTCAATCATGATGTATTTCCTTTCCTTTATCCCTGGAAAGGCCCTGGTTATTCTTTCTTCCTTTAGAGATCTAGAATCTGCAATTACCCTGATCTGGCTTCAAACTTCTCATTAAACTATAAAGGGCCCCCTTTCTCCTCGGCCTTCCTTCTGTTTCTAACATGCCTCTCCTGAAGCGGAGACTAAATCTGGCTTTGGATGTTTTATGATAAAGCGCCTGGAAAACAGTTTCTGCCTCCAGGTTATTTGAATTCCTCACTCTCATCCCTAAATTGGCTAAGCCATGAGCAATACAATCAGTATTATACCTATGTACTTATATATCAACCCACTGCAGCTAACTTTACAGAAAGAGAGGTCACACTTTAAAAATACTGAACATCCTACTATGGGTGGTCTAGGGGCTGGGGATTTAGCTCAGTGGCACAGCGCCTGCCTGGCAAGGTTGTGAGTTCGATTCCCGGTACCGGAAAAAAAAACCTACTATGGTTCTAATAAAATGAATTGAAATACTGTACTTTGTGCATAAAACGCCTGGATGCCCCAGTAATTTCAACACATTTTTTTTTTTTTTTTTTTTTTTTTTTTTTTTTTTTTTTTTTTAGTAGTGGTGCCAGGACTCAAAACCACTCGATTTGGTCTAACAAGTACAACCTTAGACTAAGAAATAGTCATTTTCTATGACAGGTAAAAGTCCATTGAAAGTGAATTTTTTTTTTTT